TGAAGCTAAAGTAGTTCCGTCTGGAGAAAAGCAAACTGAGAATACATAATTACTATGCCCTTCCAATCTGTTCAACTCATGTATTTTAATGTTCTTCCACTTGCAATTTAATAGTAGAGCTCCATTAAGATTTATTACACTAATGTATATATATTTGAATATTGATCCACTAAAATTACATTTGACAAAATTTGCACCTATTAAACTAGTATTTTGATCCTCATCTCTTCTCTTTCCTTTTTATAACCTTCTGTGGAATAATCATTTTTAGAAAATGGATGATCTTGAATATTTCTCAAGACATTAATTGTCTTCTTAATTTTCTATTTAAAATCACTAATTGTTTATTACTAATTGACAAAAGATTTGTATTTCTTAATATTGGCCGATAGGATATCTAATTTTTTCTCTTTTCTTTATACATCAATAATTCCTTTCAATATTGATTCATCAATATCATAAATTTAGGCTAAAATTTCATAGAGATCATCTTTCTATTAATAAACTTCACTATCATCATCATCTTAATTAAATTCAATCCTAGAATAAGATTAAAACTCTTACTTAATTATTAGAGACTAAATCTGTTCCATTACTTCATTTGACTTGTCAATTAAACCTTTAAACTCTTTGTCCCACCAATTCTTAGCCTCTTCCAACTATATCATATATGAATTATTCTAATTATACCAGTCATTTAATTCTCTTCCTTCTACAACAATTGAAACTAATTTTTCTAAATCGGTATAGGAGGATTCTACCGGATTTTGGTTAAGAAGTTTAATGTATGAGTTATTTTACTTATCGATCATATCATAAATATATTCGATTGATTTTGATAAATCTTACCAAATTTTCTTCATCATCATTTCAGTTTCAGATAGCATATATTTAAAATTCATTCTCTGTTAGATTAACTCAAATGTCTGTGTGAGCTTAGAGTCTAGTAATTTCTAAAGTGCCATTTCCTGAAATCTCTGAATAGGAACTGCTTATTTGACTTCCACTCCATGATCGTATAGGCATTAAGCACAAAGCTTCCTTTAATATATACACTAGTGAGGGGCTAAGCAAATGAATGTTATTGCGTTTTGATAATGATGAGTGCATTACATTGTCTTTTTTTTTTTAAATACTGAATTTCTATTACTTATTTTATTAAATTATATATTATGAGTCAAAAATATCTTATGCATTAAAATTTAGATAAAGACAAAATAATGAGAAAATGAGGATTTGAATGTGTTTGATGTTAAATCAACAT